ACCCTGGGGACGCACACAACCAACCCTAGTGAGCAGATCGACCCAATTTTCAACCCTACATCGGCATGATCGGCCTGAAAAACCCTAGTGCGCCGAGTGCAGGAACAGGGGAAGCAGAGGAACAGGGGAAGCGCGAATAAGCAGGTCCTTACCGTATTCAGGAGGGAACTCGCCGGGTTCCCTACGCCGCGGCTCCATGGCGCCTTGTGTCGCCGCCGATGAGGCCGACGGCAGCGTCGCCTCGCAGGAGGAGCGGGCAGAGATGAGGAGGAACAGGGGACGTGGGCGAAAGAAGGGAAAGGTTTTGGAAGGGGTTTGCATCGGGGCCGACGACCAGGTGCTTTTCTGTCGAGGGATGGACTTGTCTGCGAAATTGCTAAAGCGCGAGGTTTTTTTTTTGTAAAAACGTGATCCGGGCCCGACAGAGCCTACATGGCGTGCCACGTGTGCAGTTCGGGGTGGTTTTGTATAAATTTGTTACAACAGACAAGTTGGAGGGCTAGTTTTGTGGGGTTTTTTAGTTCTTGTATGAAACTGTTCCCACCCCTACAAGTTTATGTATCAATAGTGGTATTAACTCCAAATTGTGTTATCACATGCATCTCTTTCCTCATTAATTATTATCACATCATCTATTCTATCTGGGTATGTGTGATGTTATCACCTACTACGTTATTTACACTATTGTAGTCTTAAAAGTGGGGATGCAGGTTAAAAAAAGATTGCGGGCGTAATTACTATTACGGCTGATTTACTATTTAAAAGCGAGATGTAGATGTAAAAGTAGCTGATTTCTCTCCCATTTAAGTTTTTTTGCCGTAATTAGTGCCGGCTGATTGCTTCCTAGTATTAAAAGTGGAAGGATTGTATATAGATCAGCGAAATTATTCATTAGGAAATCCAACAATGCACTATTTTTTTTAACCTTGTGTTATTAATCAGATTTTTAAGAGAAAATCAAGCGCGTTAATTGGAAAATTTTGAACACAGGTTTTGTTAGTTTCACCATTTTCTTCATCCGTTCTTGATTCTAGCCGTTTTCCTTTTTTAGTGAGACTTTACACTATCACCAGAAGAATCATTAGAGATGAGAGTGACCTTATTTGTAACTTTCTAAAATATATGGAGTGGACTAGTTTTGTTTTGAAAATTATTCCCTTCCTCTACCATATCCATGCAGAATTTGTTTGAGTTGGACAGAAGGGGCGTGTGGAGCAGCTTTGTGAAACGAACAAGATCTAACAAAATTCTCACTAAGTTTGTGGCCGGCGATCGACCGTCTGCTTTCTTTTTTTTTGCCGAGTGTTTCTTCATGGATACATACTCGGCATGTTAGAATCCAGATCGTATACGATTCATATATACCTTGTACATTTATTATCTTTTTGACATACTAGCACAGATTTCCGTGTGTTGCAACGGGGGATTTTTTTTATGGGTGAATATGGTGCTTTATTACTCAATCAAACGGGATTCTGCCTTAGATTAGTTTTAACGCGCATTTTTCTCCCGTGATGCATATGAATACCCCGTGATGCATATGAATGAAGTTTCTCCCGTGTTCAAAAAAAAAATCCAGGGCCATTAAATACCTGAGCTGAACCCGAGCAGTCGACGCCAGATCAAGCTCTTCGCCTACCGAATCCCCCACCTCGCCTCCACTGACAGGCCGACCATGACGTCGCTGCCGGACGAGCTAGTGGAGGAGGTCTTCCTCCGCCTTCCGCCGGACGAGCCCGCGGCGCTCGTGCGGGCCTCCCTCGTCAGCAAGCCCTGGTTCGGCCTCCTCACCGGACCCGCCTTCCGCGGCCGCTACCGCGAGTTCCACGGTGCTCCACCCATGTTGGGCTTCCTCTACAACCGGCCCTACGGCTACTCCCGCAGGAAAGACCTCACCCCACTCTTCGTCTCAACCACAAAATTCAGGGTGCGCATTCCGCACTTTACCCAGCGCACGCACCAAAGTTTGGATGCATGGGACTGCCGCCATGGCATGGTTCTTCTTGGGGATAACGGCTACTGTCCCCCGATGCTCGCCGTTTGGGACCCCATGACGGGCTGCGCTCGGGAGCTGTACGGGCCCGAAGAATACCTCGACCCCGCCGATAGCTACAAGATCGCGGTGCTCTGCGCCGTGAGCGGCTGCGACCACCGCTCGTGTCACGCGGTCCGCCCCTTCAAGATGGTCTATGTCGGCGTGAAGACGCGTGATGGTGAGTGTGTTGCACTCGCGTTCGTCTCGTCGCCGGACATGGGTGACTGGACCAAGGCGTCTGATCCTGAACGTGAGGAGTGGGAGGAGCCGTGCTCTGATCTTGATCTTGCAAATGATGCGTTCGTCCATTCAATGCCTGCTGTCCTCGTCGACGACGCCCTACACTTCCTGCTTGGGTACAAATATGATGATGGTCGTGCAGGAATTCTCAAGTACAGCTTGAGCTCTGATTCTTTATCGTTTATTGATGCGCCGCTTGCCATGTCTGTTGTTGCTCGTGCCAGTATCCTCATGGCGATGAAGGATGGCAGATTGGGGTTTGCACATGTGGACAGGTTAACCCTCCACGTATGGTCCAGACAGGTAGATTCCGATGGAGGTGCATCATGGACTCATGGTAGAATCGTGGATCTCAAGAGCCTTCTCCATATTAAATATCCCAAGAGTCGAGCTAGACTGATTGGTTCTGTGGAGGGCGGTGATATCATTTTTGTGACCGCGGATCTTGGCGTCTACGAGATTGATCTCAACACACTAGAGTGGAAGGAGCGACGGAAGAGAGAAAATCTCCACGCTCTTTATCCCTACATGAGTTTTTACAATCCGCCAGGTATATCTATGGGTCTTCCTTTTATGATTTTGGAACGATTCTCAAGTAATAATATAGAGTGGAACCATCAAAACATGAATGTCTTATCAGATGGAAAGTTATATTTGAGATTTGCTCAAGCAAATTTTCAGCTCAATGTAACAACCGAAGGTTGCCACTAATTATGCCTACTTAAATTGCAATGCATCTAGTGTCATAACATCTCTTGTTTGGAATCGCACCGAGAAATCTATGTTTGCTCCAACAAATTTCAAGTGCAATGTAATAATTGAAGGTTGCGACTAATTATGCTTACCTAATTGGCAATTTATATAGTACCATGTCATCTCCTCTTTGGGATCATATTGATAAAACTATGTTTGCAGAAAGGGTGATCCCTGGTGATGCGGCACATTAAGAATGGACGGTTAAGTATGCAGGATGCTACTCGTCAACAACAAACACAACAACTTGGAGGCATATCATGTGATGAATTATTTCCCTATTAGTAGCCCTTTTGGTGCTGTGGTGCATGCATGTTTTCTCGTATTAGTGTTGGCTTTTCTGTGCTAGTTTGGCAGTTTCCCTGTGTTGGGGCGAATGGATTATCTTGTAGTGAACCTTTTAATTTCTTGTATCCATGTGAACCGTTGTTAAATTTATGCATCTGCAAAAGTGGCTTAAGTCTACAATTTGCTATCCCAACTTTGATTTAGTCCCTGAATTCATCTCCCAAAAGGGGTATCTTTGGAGAGCAGATGCTGATGGAATGTCCAGAGCTAGTGATCGCTGATATTTCTTAACTGATCTAGATTATCTTGTTTGTGCTACACACCTACATGTCAAGTGCCAATGTGATGTTACTGCAGTTTTTTTATTATCAAACGATGCTATGAAGAGTATAAGATTTGAATGGAATCTTTGAGTTGTAAATTTAGAGATCTAACATACCAACATGATATGAGCTGTGTGACTGCATGGGGATCTTACAGAGCTCACACTTAGTTCAAATATTAAAAAATCGCATAGAGCTCTCACTTAATGCATTAGTTCCATGAAACGGTGAAGTATTTGTTCGTAAATTGGTTGCATTTTTTTGGTGTGAGTAGACATAACAGTACACGGTGCTGTCAATGTAGTGAGATGAGGATGATCAGAATTAAGAGTGCAGGGCTTTATGAAAATCATGCGTTTCTCTATGCTTTCTCTAAGTTTCATCCTTCATGGGCACAACAAATTTCCGTTTGAGTCGGGCTGATTTTCTGCATGTAAAAACCTTGGATTTACATGACCTGTCCATCTCTCTGTCATATTTCCTTCATGTGTGGTTTTCTATATAGCAAGGCATATATCTGGATCTTATTAATTGGTGCACATTGCTGGAGTATTTGCTTGGTATCCTGCCAGATTATGCTGAAGAGCAGGAATGCAGGATGCCTCTCCAGTCAACAGGAAAGACGTTCACTATGAGGCAACTTCAGTCTTGCGATTAACCATGTAGTCTTGACTGGTGCGCTTTTGCTTTTTCATGCTGTTCTTGGCCTGTATCAAGGTTTGCTCTATGTGGGCATGTCCAGAGCTGCTATTTTCTGTTGCCCAACAGATGATAATTTGGCCTATGCATGCGAGTGGACTGAACTAGCTAGCACTACATGTCGAGTGATGTTGATACTACAGTAGTTCGTTTTAGAAAGCAATGTTAATGCAGTACACTTTGGTCTTGGAGGAGGGATAAAACTTGACGTTGCAAACTGGACCAAAAAATCGAAGGACTTGAGATCACAATTAGCAGAAACAAACAAGTAGACAGATTCCTCAAGAGCCACTGTACCTGGGTTTCAAAACAAATCACAGAAAAATGAAACAACATGTCTGGCTGCTTCAGTTATTATCGTGCTTATGACTGAAACCGTCGCTGCCCTCTCATGCTCTGTGTTGCACTTGCAACTTGCAAACCGGGTGAACGGGTTGTCAAGAAATAAGTAGTGATGCTTGTGTTGCTAGTTTGCCACCCAAGAGATTTCTTTGCACGTTGTGTTGCTTGTGATGCTTGTGTTGCTAGCCCCCTCCTCGAGCTTGCCTTTGCACGTTGCACCAGTGGAGGTGGAGCCTGCCCATCTCGTCGCTGCGGAGATCGGCGTCTGGTGGTCAAGCCGCCCGGCCATCTCCTTGATCTTCACCTTGGGGGCGGTCCGGGCGGCGTTCTGCTGGCAAGGTCTTCTTGGCTTCACGTTGAGTTAGGTCCCCGTTGCACCGTTTGCAGTCGATTATCCATGTGCAGCACAAGCACCTACCCTGGGAGTTTTTATAGCTGTTAAATCATCTTAGGGACCGTCTATTTAATAGGTGCCTGAAAAAAAAACGTTTCCATCAACCACTTTATTTTCTGACCATCGGATCAAGATCCAACTCCTTTATCATGTCGCGGTTGTTTTTCTTTCGTTTTCGTTTTCACTCGAATGTCTTGGTTTTAATTTTCAATTTTGCTTTTGTTTTTAAATGTTTCTTTTCCTTTCTCATTTTCCTCAAAAGTCGACTATCTTTGACAATGTTCATGGTCAACAGTGTGACGATCAATCGAGCGATTGCCCGCGCTGTTGGGGCGACCCATGAGAGTGGGCCGTGTGAGAGTTGGCTGGACAACTGGCGCATAAGGTGTCGTATATATAGGAGCTCTCTTCCAGCGGCCAGTCGCACCCGACCAATGCGCTATAGCTAAGTAGGCCGGCCCAGTGCGGGAACTAGTGTTGCCTCTTTTGTTTCTTTTTTCTTATCTTTCCTTTTTTTTCTTAACAAAACTAAAATTTTGTTCCAGATTTTTTTCATGAATTTCAAAGAAAGTTATAAATTTTCAAAAAACAAATCACGAGCTTAAAACATGTTTATGAAATAACTAATGTTCACAAAAAAATATGCGAATTGAAAGAATGTTCATGAATATGCAAAACAATCCCAAAATTCAAAAGGTGTACATGCAATTCTCAAAATCTTCACGAAATTGAAAAGTGTTCATGAATTCTAAAAATATTTGTGACTTGAAAAACAGTTCATGAATTTGAGCAAGATGTTTGAAAATTTTAAAAATATTCAAGACTTCAAAGAAAAGTTCATGAATTGAGAAACTGTTCGAATTTTTTTTAAATGTTCATGAATTTTATAAAACGTTAGCAAAGTTGAAGAAGGTTTGTGAAATCAAAAACCTTTTGCAAATTTGAAAAAAAAGAGACAAATCAAAAATATCGATTCATTTGAAAATGAAAATAAAAAATAAAAAAAAGGAGAAAAGCAGGAAAAAAACAAAAGAGATATTTTTTGGAAAGGTTGTAAAGGGGTCTTGATCGTTGGACAGGCCCTATCCTATGCTGTCGTGTAGTAATAGGGGGTATGCATGGTATTTCCTATTCCGCACTTTAGGAGCCGTTACAGTATAAACTACAAACGGGCGCACACGCCCGCTTCACTTTAGGCATTTTATAAAATGATAGAAACCTTTTTAATATTCATGAACATTTTATTTACATTATATTAACATTTTCTAAAAATGGCATCTTTTTGATAAATGTGATAGCTTTTGAAATGGTACATATCGTTGATGATCTGCAAGGGCAAATGGCTATTGCCATTCGCGGTAAGTAGAGTATGTCGACCCCACAGGAAGCAGTGGTCGCACTGGTAAATACCAACCCCGCAACTACATCGTCACACACGCGGCTACGTTCACACCCAAAACGTTATCTGGAAATAGTCTATCCGTTGGTTGCTAACGAAATGATAATAAGGGTGGTTTTGTCTTAAGGAACTAAGCGAAGGTAGAAACGTAAATAAAACATCGAATAAAATAAGGGGGAAATGCTCGAGTAAAAGGCGTTCAGAATCATTACTACCCGCGCGGCCTACAGATACTTAAGTCACTTTTCATGTAGTTATTTGTGGGCGGAGCCTAGTAGACTTTGTGACACGCATGCCACCGCCTGAGACGAATCCACGGCTCACCTGTGAAGTTTGGAGGAAAAAGTTTGCCGCGGCAGCCTAGTGTTAGAGGAGGAAACGAGAGGAGTCCGCTACTTCACAGGGGATCTCTCTCCTCGTACTACTTCGTATGTTGGATGTGTATTCACGCAAGTAGTTATTTCTGAATGTTGAATATAGCTAGTGCGATGGACATACGTCCAAGTCGTAAAGTGGACAGTTCAACTGAAGAATTAACCCACCAAACATTTTGCCTTGTAGGATAGTAAGTTCTGACGGAAGAGTCTCTGCTATGCTCGTGTATATATACCTCCGGAGCCTTACAACTGAGGCACCAAAAGACGAGCCGTCTACTACGTGCAAAGCTGAGGAGCAGCAGCAATGGCGGCCGGAGCAGGAGGAGACGACCTGAAGCTGCTGGGCATGTGGGCGAGCCCGGCCGTGCTGCGGGTGCGCCTCGCTCTCAGCATCAAGGGCATCAGCAGCTACGAGTACCAAGAGGAGGACTTCGACAACAAGAGCGAGCTGCTCCTCCGCTCCAACCCCGTCCACAAGATGGTCCCCGTGCTGATCCACGCCGGCAAGCCCGTCTGCGAGTCGACGGTCATCATACAGTACCTCGACGAGGCTTTCGCCGGCGACGCCCTCCTCCCGGCCGGCCCCTACGAGCGCGCCGTCGCCCGGTTCTGGGCCGCCTTCGTCGACGACACGGTATGCTCATAGCCTCATACTCCATTCCATTGATTTCATTAGATCCGCCGTGTTCGTGGCATTGATCGAGCTCTTGTGGACATCTGTGCAAGCGCAGCTCCTGAAGGCCATGTACCAGGCGTCGTGGAGCAAGACGGAGGAGGAGAAAGCGGAGGGGAGGAAAAAGGTGGCCGCCGCCATGAAGACCCTGGACGGAGCCCTTAGCGACGTCGCCGGAGGGAAGCCGTTCTTTGGCGGCAACGCCCCCGGGTACGTGGACACGGTGCTCGGCGGCCTCCTCGCGTGGGTGCGCTCCGTGGACGTGATCAATGGCGTCAAGACCATCGACCCTGAGACGATGCCGCTCCTGGCCGCGTGGGCGGACCGCTTCGGCGCGCTGGACGCGGTGGAGGCGGTCATGCCGGACGTGGACAGGCTGGTGGAGTTCTCCTTGTCCTTGACAACGTAGGCTCATGCTGGGGACGAGGCCGCCTGCCACAGCAAACTATTTTGTTTCAAAACATTGCCGCTATTCTCTCTTTCGTGTTCCCCCGGTAGCGTTCACTATTTAGTTTTGTTGTTGTTGAGTGAGCCACAAAGCTTTATTAATCATGGAAAATAATATCTATCTATCTATCTTCAGGCAAACAAGCCACTCGTTCATCTTTTTTTTTTTTTGACAGTGGTGAATTTATTGACTCATAATGTCGCTCGCTTCGAGAGAATACAAGCACTATAAGCACATGCTCAGCCTTTGCACGACTGGAACACACACAGCCCATCATCGCGCACACACATAGATAAAATTTCGGAACCTCTCTGCATACAACAACAATCATCAACATTAACCATCACCTATCGCAGCACCCGGAATGTGGGATAAGTGTTTAAAAAACGATGCCTCCAACAAAAGAACGACGGACAGGTGTTGTCATCGCTAGATCCATCCATGGAGGTTAGGTCTTGCATTTTCACCCCGATTAAAAGATTATAATTGTTAAGGTGGAAAGATCTATATGTTCCACAAAATTGTATCATGTACAAATTTTGCCGAGACATATGGATAAAACTATATTGACGTAGAAATAAAAGTGCTACAACATGTATGGATGTCTTCCCAAAATATGTATATGTGATATGTGCTATGTGTTGGTATCGGATAACAAATCAATCAAGCGTTGGATGATAGATAGACTAGGGTTTCCAAGTGGCTAGCGATTTCACCGATTCGGCGACGATGGCTATTGACGTTTAGCCATTGTGCAACCCGCTTTGGGGCTTGCCTCACAAGGCAACCTTGACATGCTCCTTTATGGAGACCTCCGGATCAGGGAAGATTTCTGGAAACGAGTAGCGTGCCCGACAGTACTCACGCAAGAAGGCCGGGAAAGATGTTGGCGGAAGACATCCTTGACTTGGAGTTCGCAACGTCCACTCTGACGTCCTCCACCATGCCCCCGCCCTATGGCGTTCCGGCCTCGCAACGGCTCGATATCCTGCATGACTTCACAAAGGACCAGGATGCCTCCCGAACATGACGTACCAGTCACCACAACTCCAATGGCCGCAAATAACATCAAGAAGCTCCGGCGCAGGACATGACTACCAACTGTTCGAGGATATTACTCAACCAAATCCGTAGTTTCTTCTTTGCACTATATGCATTAACAGACCAATTTTAGGATGGTAGTTTCATTGTAATGCATGTTTAGGACTCATTCACGATGGATATGATAAATGACAGTCAAGATCCTCCAAATATGAGATGAGTGTTCAAAATTCGTCTTTGTTGGAGGTTGGGCAATCATTGGGCACTAAAAAAGAAGGTGAAGGCAGGAGGAAATGCATACTCAACCCATGAAGATGTTTTATTGTATAAAGCTTGGTTGGCCACAAGTATGAATCCTATATGTGGAACCAAACAAAAGGGCTTGGAATATCGGGAAAAATAATTCATGGATGGTACCATGAACACAAGCACTACGTGGAGCCACATGCAATCCATACCATCCGTGATGAGGGTTCTCTCCAATATAGATGGTCTCCATCCAATAGAGAATAGACTATGGACAAGTTTTGCGGTTTCTATGCACAAGTGGAGAATATGCAGCAAAGTGGTATTGGAGTTACTAGCCATATAAGTTGTGTTTGCTTTACATTGGTCATGATCCTTCTTGCTTGCTTAGTTACTTGCATTATGTTGACATGTGAGTTTTGCTTGCTAGATGGGACTGGCCACCACTTCATACCGTCAAATTGATAAGAAGCCATTCACTATGGGAAAATGAAGTGGTCAATACACTTAGAAAATCCCAGTAACCCCGCCAAGAAGAAGAAGAATGGTGTCACAAGCTCTGACAAATTATGTTAGATTGAATGAGGATGATGAGACAGGTGGAGGGGCGGGCGGACATGGGCTCGAGCCAATAAAAATAGACACTAGATGGGGAAGAAGTGGGAGAAGGATAGGGCCATGCGTGATGGCATGACAAGAAAAATGTGTCACATGCATGGATGAACATCTTTTGCAACGAGGGGGGATTATCAAAACATAGGAAGAGGAAGAGAGGACAAGCTCTTCTTAAATGTGCAAAGGGCGAGGATTGAGTTCAACCAGGAGAGGATGATCATTGAGAGGAAAATGATAGACATGAAGAAGATGGAGAAATGGCAAAAAAAAGGAGCTTGAGAAAGCAAAGACATGTGAGAGAATTGACCCTTGGAAAGTAGAAAGTGATGCTAGCGAGAATCACGGAAAAGTCGAGGATCATATTGGCCGACACTAAACTCGTGGACAACGAAAACAAGAAGCGGTTCATCAACAAATAGAAGGAGGTCAGTGAGCATAACAACGACGATCGCCTATGTATGAATTATTGAATTTCATTTGTCATGGATGTTTTTGGCTTGTGCTGAATTGCTTGTCTGCTTATTGGTCGCATGTTCTATGGGCATACCCTTTGTATGGATTTGAGGTGTTGGATATGAAACGTGTGGTTGTCTGCATGGACAACTAGCCAAAGTGCGGTTGTAGACAAACCAGATCATATGTCGAGCCGGGTTCGAAAAAAGCCCAAACTCATACTACAGGCTCCATCGTGGCTTGGAGCCCGAAATGACCCTTTTGCTCAAGCTTGAGCCCGGCCCAAAAAGAAGCCTAGAGTCCACAAGCCCGGGATGAATTTTGTTTTTCCAAACGCACATGTGTAACATGACAACTATATCTTGCATATAGCGAGATACATGGTACACTCACCTGAAGGGTTTCCTTCACATCTATCTACTCGGACAGCTCATTTTTGTCTCTTTCTTTTCCACTGTTTTCAATGGATTCGCTCGCTCATTACTTTTTCTGTGTTTTTTTTTCGTCTTTTAGTTTTCTTTTGACTTTTTCTGTTTCTTTCTTCATGGTTTTTAAAAAAAAATCTGTTTTTTCTTTATTGACCGCTTTTCTTTGTTATTTCATGGTTTCGCTAGTTTTCTTTCCTGTTTTTTTCTTCATTTCTTTGTTTCTTTCTCAGTTTTCACATTTTTTTTGCTTTTCTTTCTTCATTTTCTTCGTTTTTCTTTGTTTCATTCTTGTTTTCATCGCCTTTCCTTGTTTCCTTCTTGGTTTTCACAGTTTCCATAAATTTCATTAATATTCTCGTTTTTCTATTTTATTGGGTTTCTTCGTTTCTTTGTCGATTTTCATTGGTTTTTCTGTTCAACACATGTCAACTTTGTTCAATACACATTCAACAATTTTGTATACATCAAAAACATATTTTATATACATGTTCATTTTTAAAATACATCAATAACAATTTCTGAGAGAAAATATATGTCTTTTTTTTTCATTCACATTGCTAATTTTGGTATATATCTATTTGATTTTATTAATTTTTAATATTTTATAAATACATTTTCAACTTTTTTAATACATGGTGAACATTTTTTAATGGCAGTAAATATTTTTTTCACACAGAAAGTACATTTTTTGTATACATGAGGATATTCTTATGTGCAATGTTTAACATTTTCTGAATACAGAATTGACTTTTTAATATATGTTTTGTGATGTCTACTAGATTAGTTAACATATGTTGTACATTTCTCTTATACACCAGGAATATTTCTATACATATTTAGTATTTTTTTCAATGCATGTTCTACATTATTTCATTCATAGGTGCATGCTTTTTGTAAATATTTTTCGTATACATGACAAACATTTTTTTATACATTTAACATTTTTCAAAAGCTGCGGTCTATGGCCTCCCGCGTGCCTGGGCCGGCCCATCGCGTGCTCGCCTTCAGGCGAGTTTGGCTTACGTGTCTTGCTATAAGCGAGACATAGGGTATGCCAGCCTCAAAGAGGCGGGCCAGGACCGGTTTTTTCATGCAGGATGGTCGGGCCGGGCTGCCCACGATCAGTTTTAGTTGTATATAGCGTACTCCATCCGTCGATGGATAAATGTACATTTAGCTTTTGTCCTAGGTCAAAGCTCTAAAATGTTGACCAACTATAAAGAGAAAATTGTAACATATATGACACAAAATTGATATGCTATGAAAGTACATTTCAAAATGGAGCTACTCATACTAATTTAGCGCCATAAATGTTGCTGCTTTTTTTTCGTAAAAAGCTGTTCAAAGTTTTAAAAGCTTGACTTAGGACAAAAGCTAGGTATGCACTTGTTCGTCGCGGAAGGAGGGAGTGCACGCTGTGCTCCGATAGCAGCTTTGAAAAAACTGGTCAGGGAAAAAATGGATCCGGATGGGGTGTTCCCAGTGTCATTGCCTGCACGGTCAAGCCAGCTCGGCTGCCGGTCACGGGCAAGTAAAGTGATTTTATTTACTTTCTTACCGGTTTGGAAGCGCGTGAGCGTTTCGCTGCCCGTCACCTTTGTTGTTTGGTTTTCTAGAAGGCGACGAGCGCTGCGGATGCGCGTACGGCACGTCCGGCTTCGCGGCTGCTTCCGCCCCGTGAGGAAGGTAGGCCGTGACAGTGACACACACACACACACAGGCGTGCCGTGTCGTGTGCCCACAAGAAATTCCACAAAGTCACGCCCGCAGGGCAACTAATTTTTTTTTTTTGCGAAAAAACTTTCAATCTATTCATCTTCAATCATGGCACGCTCATGTCACGTCTCCTTCCTTTCTTTTCGAGGTAATAGAGTCTTTATTCCATTAATATAGGGCTACGGTCATGAGGCAGAAGTTCATCGACACATGGAGGATCTTTATATAGCCATACTGCAAATCAATTTGTGGTTGAATGGCAAGATGGACGGATATATCTCAGTCCAGCAGCAGGGTTCTCAAGTCTGCTCGCGTTTTTCCGATTTATTTCAGACCTTTTTGGCGATGTGCATTAAGTGAAAGGAGACTTTTCCGTCGACTATAAAGATGTACGTCTGTGGCGGCTTCATCAATCTCGATAACACATACCCATCACCACCCCCAGGTCCGGTCCGCGCTTGACCCAGCCAAAGCACACACCGCGTGCGCGTGGGCGAGCAAGTTGAGCCGGACGGGGTAGGGAGGGGGCAAGGCAATCGACGACACGACCGGGTCCCCTTCCCCTTCCCCTTCCCCTCCCCGGTCCGCTGCTCCTGTTTTATAGCCGCCGCCCTCAAGTTTTCCTCATCCTCCTCCTCCTTCCTGCCCGATCCCCAGGCCAGCTCCCCCCGCCATTCCAGCCGGCGCTCGATCTACCCATCCACCCAGCTGCGCTCCATCCGTTCCCGGGACCATTTCTTCAGAATTATTCTGCTACGCGTGAATCGCCGCAGAGTTTTACTGAATCACCAGCTGCAGACCGGAGATCTCGGCCTGCTGCTCGGCGCCAGGGGCTCCTTCCGCCATGAGCGCCGCCAGGTCCTCCTTCTTCGCGTCCCACAACGGGAAGAAGAAGCCCGCCGCATCCGCCGCCCGGAACCCCTTCGACTCCGACTCGGACGACGACGGCGGCATGGTCCAGCGGCGGGGCCCGGCGCGGGCCTCCTCCGTCCCGACCCCCGCCGCCCCGCCCGCCAGGGCCTCCCCCGCGCCGGTCCCTTCCGACGAGCGGAACTCCCTCTTCGCCGGGAGCGCCGCTCCGGGCCCCGCGTCCTCCTCCTCCTCCTCCTCCTCGTCGGCGGCGGCGGCCAGGAGGCGGTACGGGAGCGACTTCCGGGACTCGGGGGGCGTGGAGGCGCAGTCGGTGCAGGAGCTGGAGGGCTACGCGGCGTACAAGGCCGAGGAGACCACGCGCCGGGTCGACGGCTGCCTCCGGGTCGCCGAGGAGATGCGGGACACCGCCTCCAAGACCCTCCTCCAGGTGCACCAGCAGGGCCAGCAGATCCGGCGCACCCACGCCATGGCCCTCGACATCGACCAGGATCTCTCCAGGGTAAGAAGAGAGAAGAACAGAGAATTCAGGAGGATACTACTACTTGCTAGTTGTTTTTCCTTACCAAACATGCCAATTAAGTTATCCTGTTGTTGCTCCTTGCTGATGAATACTAGCAGTAGCCTAATTTTGTTCTTCTGAACTAAGATCAATGTTTCAAGCTTGGCAGTATAGTACAGTTTATGACATTCCTGCAAATATTTGTTACCCAAACTTGCCCTTAAAGGCATCATATATTCGGAAGCGTTCGATCTGGAACTACATGCTCAGGAAAATCTAGATTGCGGCATTTATGTCAAATTTACGGTGCCGAATTGCTCCTTGCTTACATGGACAAGTTTGTGACAATGGCTTTTTGTTGTCCAAACTTTTTTAGGGGGAAAAGCTACTAGGGGATCTTGGGGGTTTGTTTTCCAAGAAGTGGAAGCCAAAGAAGAATGGCGCAATAAGGGGCCCTATGCTGACCAGAGGTAATTTCCAACATAATTTTAAGCAATCTTTCAGAAACATATGGAATCTTAAAGAAGGCTGCAAGACCACATGTGTCTGACTGACATGAGAAAATATGGACTATATATATGATGATACACGTTCTGTTAACTCAATGGATGGAACGACATGGATGCAGATGATTCCTTCATACGCAAGGGCAGCCATATGGAGCAGAGGCATAAACTAGGGCTGTCAGACCGTCCGCGTCGATCCAATGCACGCCAATTCCTGTCCGAACCCACATCAGAGCTTGAGAAAGTCGAGGTACATAGAAATTGCTATGAATGAATGCCTCACAATTTTCATCTCAGGAACACATCTGGAAAATACCAGATTTTATTTCCATATCGTGTAGTTTCTGATCATGTTTTTTTTTGTCAGGTGGAGAAGGCAAAGCAGGATGATGGCCTATCTGATCTTAGCGACATACTGACCGAGTTGAAAGGAATGGCCATTGACATGGGAACTGAGATTGAGGGGTAAGTTCATGTGACACTTCACTCTTAGTTCTTACTTACTGCTCATAGCCTAATAAACACTTCTCCCCAGATTGTTCAACTTACACAGAATACGTGCTGTTAATCACTAATCCATAGCAACTTATACTAATAAATATCCATTACACATTTTCGTCCATGGCCGCCCATGGAAATACTGTACTAGCTCCAAAATCCAGAAACAATTCACCAACCGACATTGTCGATATCTGAGTATCTTATGGAACATCTCCATAGTTATATTTTAGCACCGTTGCTTCATTCTTCAAGGTGCAACCTTTACACAGGCTGAGTGTGACATGCTCTTCTGTACATTTGGTTGGTTTCAGGCAAACAAAGGATCTGGGTCATGCAGAGAAGGACTTCGACGAACTTAACTACAGGGTCAAGGGGGCGAACACTCGAACCCGTCGTCTGCTTGGGAGATAGGCGGAAAGCATATGTTGTTGTCACCGGAGGATTCCTGTGACACTCATTATCTTCTGCACTTTGCTTCCGTGGGTTGTTAATTCAGATCATTTTGTGCATAAGACTCTGATCAGGATGGTTTGTTGGGGAGGTGACTGGGGAGTTGTATCAGGGTTTATTGTGTATATGCTAGACCGCGGTTCATTTTCTATGTTGCAATCGTAGCACAATTTGCTATGGACAGTAGATAAGTCTGCATTCGGTTTTCTTGGTTTGCAATCTCTATGCTACAGGAAAGCACAACATTACACATCGGTTTATGGAGTTGCAAATTCTGGGTGGACTCGGAATTTGGTATTAATTAGTTGACCTGCACACCCGTTGGATCATGGCTTTGAGATCCGTGTTGTTTTCATATGTAATTCTTGTTTGCTTTTTGGGGAGAGGGTGGGGGAAACTATTTATGCACATGCACATACGACCTCCGTCTCAAAGTACAAAATGTGCCTTCAGAAACGTCTTATATTTTGAGGCGGAGGTAGTATTAAATAGTGGTGCCAATTGCTGAATCGTGCTTATGCCAACGAAATGCTACAAGCGAGTCACATTCCGCAAACAAACGAAATGCTACAAGCGAGTATTTTCTGCAGCAAGGTCCGGATGGCTCAAGGTTGTGCGACCATTTTTCCTCTTTTCACCCATTTGAGGCCTAGCGCAAGCCATAATAATCTGCACCACAGAAGCAATGTCAATGATTGTATTTAGTGCTCAGTCCCAATCTTGGGAATATCTCTATTGAGAACAAAATAATTTCATGAGCTAAGAATGAATTTGCGGACAATAAAGTGGAAATGGTGAAAGTGTATCTTATTTACCCCTATTTTTTTGTGATTAATGACAATGCAATTGAGTGGACTAATTTATCAAGTTTATTTTAGAAAAAATAGTAATTTCCTATCCTCCTATGCGAGCGGAAACGGACGAGTCCGTGCTCCCGCGTACGTGGCTTGATTTGATTGGAACAAAATAAGGCACGGGTCCACCTCGTTAAAATCAGGGGAAAGATGATTAGATTAGGAAGGAAAAAGGAAAAAAGACAACCGTAGGATGAAGTTGGAGCACGGATGGGAGCATGAGAAGGGAGCAGGCAAGCCGGATCCAGCGGAAACATCCATGGTGGCCCCTATTTTTATATCTTATACTCTTCCCGTTCCATATTACTTGTCGCTGATTTAATACATGGAACGGAGGGAGTACTACCTTGATAATAGTGCTTACCTCCTTCAAGCTTTTTAGTATTAGCGCAAAAACGTTCCATAAGCTTTATAGTATTAGCGCAAAAACGTTCCATATTTAGTTACGGACGTAGTAGTGCTTACCTCCTTCAAGCTTTTAGTATTAGTTAAAAAACGTCCCATATTTAGTTACGGACGTAGTGGTGCTTACCTCCAAGCTTTTATAGTATTCAGAAAAATATATTTTTTGTCTCTCAATTCTTTCGAAAGTCTAGATTTGGTATCTCAACTCTTCAAACCGGATAAGTCCCTCGTCAACTGACCCGATATCGCTGCTGCTGACTTAGTGTGGTTTTGACCAGTCTTCGCTGAGGTGGCAAAATTCATCTCTCCTTCTCATTACATCTCTTCTTCCTCTCATCTCTATAGTAGGCATTTGATCGAGCAACTCGCGGGCAGGGCCGGCCCTATGTTTCGGGAGGCCCTAGGCGAACTCGACGACATGGGTCCTATGTCCTAAAAGGCTAAGACCATATATGTGCTCGGGATTAGTTTTTAGCCCTTGTTCTCCAATAACATCAACATTGCTTGAAGATGTAAAGTACTTATTGAAAGAACTCTTCCGTGGTTAAATTTTCAGATCATTTTTCTCCTTTTTTCAGCACCCCACAAATGCATCTTCTTAGGTAACATGGCAAGCTAATGTCCTAAAATTATGATGAAAAAAGGATACAAAGAATTAGAAATTTATACATCGGATGATTGGAATCTTAGACATGTACACAAAATGACAAAAAATTAGGATCAATCATGGATGAATGAATAATTGAATACGTACTAAAGAATAAAGAATAAAAGAAACTACTGAAAATGGGCTTTGAATCACGGGATAGATCAGAAACATGGTACATGGATGCATACTTATCGTGGTGCACTCCCGGCTCACATACGTATAAGTATTGCCGCCTTGCCGGATGTCGGATGGCCGGGCTGTCGGACTGCTGCGGGACGCGTACAACGGCAACAACTAGTGGCGGCCGAGGCACCGAGAGACAGGCCGACGGCCGATGAGAGGACGAAGTCACGAAAACGAACCGACGAGCGACGAAGGCACAAGCGAATTAACCGTGCCTTTCGTCAGGCTGCCGTGACGCTTCGCTATAGCTGCCTAGCTATCTGATGGGCCTAAGCCCATCTTGTTTTTTTTCTCTCGTATAATTTGTTTTTCTTACCTACTTTTTGCTGGGTATACTATGTATTTATCCTGCATCATGGGCCCCCATCAGCATGGGCCCTGGGCCATCGCCCCTCCGCCATACCCCCAGGGCCGCCCCTGCTCGCGGGTGAGCCTGTATTTCAGTCACCAGCACCACTTCGTTGTCTGACTAGGCAACACCAGCTAGGAGCACGTCGCCGGAGGCCGGACCTGCACGCCTTGGCTGGTCGTCGACGGGGGTCGCCCGGGGCTTGGCCTGTCCACACGTCGATGATGGCCGCCGACGTTGCGGGGGCGCTTTGTGTTCGCCTGCTTCGTCCTCGCCGCTGATGCTCGATGGTCGCGCGGTAATTATCGCCGAAGCGAGAGTCCCGCAGGCTGCTAGTGCGGAGGAGTGTGGGTATGGTGGAGAGCACGTGGAGGCGGCAGACGGCGGCGGGATGGCGAACGACTGGGCTCGTCGTTCGTGCGCACGCCGGACGCCCTTGTTCATCTCCAGCATCGAGAGACACGTACGTATCCTCACCTTGCCCGTCCTCTTGACGGTGCTGGCTTTGCCGAGGTGGCAGTTGTGGAACATGGCCAGCGTGATCACCGTGCATGCTCAAGCAGGTGGGCTGCACGAGCCGACAACGGTGCGCGCGCGTGCGCACCCACTTGTGCCCACCCAGTACGCGTCGGTGGTGCTCCCCGGACATGGTCGGCACGGCGGCGCGGAGGTCGCAGAATCGGCAATTCAGCTTGTGGCGGCGCTGACGCTCGGCCTCCATGTCCAAGCACACAAGGACCCCGCGAGCCACCGATACACCACGCCCATGTTGCGGATGGCGGCCGGGCCCTCCTTGGCGGGGCTGCCAACGCAGCATGTCAGGCCAACTCCAGTGCACGACCCCAAACGGACGTCCATTTTGCATGGATTTTGTTCGTTTGGGTAGAGCAGTGGGGTCGTGTCCGGACCTGTCCTGGAATGCGGTGACCATGCGCCCAGCGCATAGACGCATCCTTTGGCCCCATCCTGTCCGCCACGGCCAAAAATGCCCATATAGTCATATTTCAATGTTCCAAACAAGTTTGCACGTTCAAATATTTATTGTCTGAAAATAAAAATAGTTTTACAACACAATCGGAATTGTCTCTAATAAAATAGTTTTACAGCCATATCGAAATTGTCTTGAATGAACCAATACATCTATTTGGTTGTCAATGTGAGTCCACACGTGCTCAACCAAGTCATTTTCAAGATCCAAATGAGTGTGTCAATCACGCATTTCACGATGAAATTGGACAAACTGTTCAAACATGGCCGGTTCTTGATGCAGGGGCTCAACATTTTCACCTCAATAATCAAATCCTTGGTCGAAGATGCTGTCATCACGCTCGTCCTCGATGATCATGTTGTCCATGATCACACAAGCAGTCATCACCTCCCAAAGCTTCCCTTCCTCCCATGTCAGCGCAGGGTTTCGAACAATACCCCATCGGGATTGAAGCACATCAAAAGCATGTTTCACATCCTTTCTAGCACTCTCTTGCATTTGGGCAAATCTCTTTCTCTTCTCACCTTGGGGGTTCGAGATTGTCTTCACAAAAGTTGACCACTGAGGATATATACCATCAGCTAGGTAGTATTCCTTGTTGTACTGGTGGCCGTTGATCTCAAAGTTGACAGGTGGGGAGTGGCCTTCTACAAGCCTTGCGAAGACTGGAGAACGCTGCAGCACGTTGATATCATTGTGAGAACATGCCATGTCGAAGAATGAATGCCATATCCAAAGATCCTGCGAAGCCACAGCTTCTAATGTGACAGTGCACGCTTTAACATGCCTCTTGTACTGGCCCTGCCAAGCAAATGGGCAGTTTTTCCACTCCCAGTGCATACAATCTATGCTGCCAAGCATGCTTGGAAAACCTCTAACTGTGTTGGTTGATACGTCTCCGTCGTATCTAATTTTCCAAACACTTTTGCCCTTGTTTTGGACTCTAACTTGTATGATTTGAATGGAACTAACCCGGACTGGCGCTGTTTTCAGCAGAATTGCCATGATGTTATTTTTTGTGCAGAAAATAAAAGTTCTCGGAATGACCTGAAACTCCACGGAATATCTTAGAATAAATAATAAAAAATCCTCGCCAAAGATGAAGACCAGGGGGCCCACACACTGTCCATGATGGTGGGGGGAGCCCCCCCCCCCCTCCTGGGCGCGCCCCCTA